ATAAGTTTAGAGTTGTCTGTAATTGATACTAGAAGATACTGATTGCAATAAGATATTACTGTTAGGTGATAGAGTACTCGGCAATGAAGATTTAAATTAATGTTATGATAATTATTGTATTTACTTTTGGCTACAATGTTAATCATTTCTGGGTTTGATTTGATTTGTTTTTGTTTTTTTTTTTTATGTTGTTCTTCAGAGTTACAATACACCTCAGGCCTAAAATTGTTTCTATTTTGTACAGCATGTAATAAATTAAGATGAATTTTAAAATTTAAAAGCTACTCCCATGCTTCACATGCATGAAGCAAAAATGGTGAGATCCTTCATTCACTGCTTTGAAAATTAGGAATTTGTTGATTTTAAGGTAGATTCTAAGGCATACCTGGTTGATTTTCCAGCATCCATCTCTCAGCACAGTCATCCTAACCATTAATCAAGATGATGGAAATTGTGTAAGCATGGCCTTTCTAAACCTGTCCTTTAATAATGAGGTATGGTTATTGCTGAGTAAAGGAACAGTGGCCAGTGGAAAACACTGGTGAAGCCACAGCTGTATTTCTCACAGGATGCTTTTGCTGCATCACTTCATTCTCACTCAGCCAGTGACAACTGCTTCAACTGCTTTTTTGTGCATTTATTCCACAACTGCTTACTGTTATTCATCTGCAACTCATTCATAACTAATCTGCAAATCCCCAGTCCCTTTTCCTTCTGGTCTGTCTATAAGACTCCCCAGAAGGACACACATGATTAGATCTAGTGGTAAGGCAAACAGGAAAAAACCCACTGTGCATTTCACAGGATTTTTAGTGCTTAAGAAATATTAAAGTGTGTACATCTTATGCATCAAATATGTGTTAAAGTTATTTTTGCCATTGATATTAATTTGGCCATTTTACTGTACCTTCTGTCTTCTTGTCCATTGTTAAAGCTTTCACATCAAGGCTTTTTTTAATGGATTAAGAACTCTTTATAAGCTAAATATTGTCTCCCTTTAGCTTCTACAAATTCTAGTCCATTGCAGAGCTGAAAAGGGAAGAGGCAGAGCCCTAGAACTCAGGGGAGGAGGAATCTTTCCTGAGATGTCCCTGCAGCCTGGGACATTCAGCAAGCCAACGCCATGAAGCTTTTGTTCTTCCTCTTATTCGTAGCCTATCCTATCCATGTGGGGAAGAAGCTGCCTCTTTTGTGTCTGTGTAGCTGGCTAACCCCAATTCTAGTCCTTGCTAGAGGACAGATAACAGGAGGTTGTTCTGAACACCGGATGTGCTAGCACAGCACAGCCTATGGGAAGGGCGATATCTTTCCAAAACCTGCAACTTGAAAGCTGGCACAAAGGAGGTTGGAAGAGGACCCTGACAAATATATCTCCTTTGTAGAACAGAAGTAGAAATGTACACCAAACCACTACACTGTAATGTGGGACTACTTATTGGGCTCCTCACTTCAAGAAGGACATGGAGGCCCTGGAGCATGCCCAGAGCAGGGCTATGAAGCTGGTGAGGGGCCTGGAACAAAAGTCCTATGGGGAGTGGCTGAGGGAACTGGGGTTGTTGTGTCTGGGGAAGGGGAGGCTCACAGGAGACCTTATTGCCCTCTACAACTACCTGAAAGGCAGGTATAGGGAGCTAGGGGTCGGCCTCTTCTCACAGGTAACTAGGAATAGGACTTGAGGGAATGGCCTCAAGTTGTTGGAGGTTTAGGTTGGTAATGAGGAGACATTTCTTCTCAGAAAGAGTAGTCTGGCATTGGAATGGGTTGCCCAGGGAGGTGGTGGAGCAACCATCCCTGGGGGTGTTGAAGGAAAGGTTGGACGTGGTGCTTAGGGACGTGGTTTAGTGGGTGACATTGGTGGTAGGGGGAGGGTTGGACCAGACGGTCTTGAAGGTCTCTTCCAACCTTAATGATTCTATGATTCTGTGATTTCCCTCTTTTACTGAGAGCAGAACAATTGTAATCAAATCTGTGCTCTTTGTAGGAGTGTTTGTTTGTTGTGTACCTGGTTGATAAACAGACACAATTAACTCTAAGGACAACGCTGATGGGGTGGTAGAGTTGCTGGAAGACAGGCTGGGTAGATTATGCATTCTTTCAGATAGGGACAGTCTTCAGAGATTTTCACCCTACATTGGAACACCTGTCTTTTAAAGAACAACTGTATTTAAAGTCCTATTACAAGAGATACCATAGATGTTCTGTATGAATGATAAAGTAGAGAGGCAGAGCAAGGGAGCAGGCATGGAAATGTGTAAAGATGATACAGATAATTTTGAAAGGTACTTTGCTCCTTTGCATATTACAGATAAAAGTTCCCGTGGACAAATTTTCCTTTTTCTAAGTGGCTGAATGGGTTTGAGAGACAGGAAGGAGAGGAGATTAAGTGCTGTTCGAGCTGATCTAGATGATATGCCATCTTCATTCTCTGAAATGTTGCTGCAGACTGAAGGATCATTCCCCTGTTGGAAAAAAAAAAAAAAAAAAAAAAAAATATTTGGTTTTGGTTTTGTTTGGAATGGCCTCAATACACAAAGCTGTAAGGCATTGGTCCTACTGGCTTTATGAATGCCACTTTTATGCTGAAAGGAAGCATAACTCTTTGCTTGATGTTGCTCTTGGATTCAACAAAAACATGGAAGGCATATAATTCAAATAATTAACTTTTAAACAATAATGCTGAATTGGGCTTATTTTCAGCTTGCCACCTGTCTTTACAGAAGCCTGAAAACTCATTTTAGGCCTATTCATGAAATGTAAAGGGGATTTTCAGGGCTGGTGAGATGGTTTGTTCTGCTGCTGTGTGGTCTTGTAAGGAAAACACCGTCCAGCTAGCTTGCAGCAGTCAGCTGTTAACACTTCCTCTGCCACTGTCTTACTTAATCGTGGTGGACCCTTGATGTCTCTGTGCCTGCGTTTTCCCACCTATAAAACAGGGGAGATGGTTTTTATTTACTTTGTGAAATGCTTTGAGATCCATTTTATATCACAGCAAAAATTACTAAGAGTAGTCATATATTTTGCTCTTTTAAAACCATAGGGAACAATCTGTGAATCATCTGTCTCTGCAGCCAGTGGGGGTCCCTACAATCATTCAGAATTAGTAGCTGGGAGAGAGTGGCTATTGCACAGACATGCCCATGCTCCAGAGTTGTGACTGCAGCTTGCACAGGTACACCAAGCCAGCGCTAAGTGATGGCACTGCTAATGGGGCACTCGTGTTAGTGCAGAGCTTGGTGTGTGCTGCTGGCTGCACCCAAGTAGCTGAGAACATGCCTGGCTGATCAGCCCACACTGAGCTCCATACTGCTGCAATGACATTCCTGCCAGTATCTCTGTTAGTTAATTTAAAGCTAGCTCAAGTATGTCTGCGCAAGCTGCAGTTAGGCTGTGACTGCAGTATAAAAATACACCCTCCAGGAGACCACAGGCAGACAAATCTTCAGAGAAAGTGTCTTACATTTGCAATCAAGCACAGTCTGATGGCAACATTTCAAATTTGCCTTACCTTTAGTTTATTGTTCTTCTGTAAATGCAGCCATTCTGCCAAAGTAGGTGAGGGTTTCATTTATCCTATTCTTCTATCATGAATGGTGTTTTAGACTAGGACATGCTTAAAACAGGAATTTTCATTTTAGTTGCCACTTTATCCATGCATGGCTCTCATCTACTTTTTTTTTTTTCCCATCCAAAATGTGTAGGAAGATTTAATATTGTCATAATAATGTTGAGAGGTAGTTACTGTCACTCTGTTTTTGGAGAAAGAGAAATCAAGGCAGAGGAAAAGTTACCTGCCAATGATTAAATAGCAAGTCAAGGGAGAGAAAGAACTGGCAATAAACTTTTTTTTTTTTTTCTTTTTCCTGGGGGAACCAGTGATGTTTCAGTCACATGGACTTTATCAGTGAGTTACTCACCAATTCCCAATTGCATCCTAATACACTTTTTTTTCCAGTTCCCCTGTTTTTATACACCTTATGCTAATGTTTGTAAGGGAGTGTCTTAAGTACACTTTAAAATGACATGGCAAATTAATAATAATCTAAATAATTCAGTACCATATAAATTGTATAGAACAAGCATCCTCCCGGGATGTATCAGATAAATAAAACATGGGTTAGAATGGATTCTGAATAATGGTATTATAAGAAAAACATCTTAAAAAATAAAAGAAGAATGATAATATCCTTTTCTGTTTTACAGTCTTCCTTTCTTAACATTTTTTTAAAATTGCTCCAAATTCAAACATTTATGGTAAATGTATACATTGAAAAAATCCTGTTTTTAAGTCTCATTAGCTGTGTTAAGTGTCAATTCATTTGGCAAAATACTCTCCTAGAAAACAGTTTGTACCAGTTCAGTGCTATTTCGTGTCTGATTCCTCAAAGATCTATTCTGAGTATAGAAAGGAGCCACATGATTCATTCAGCTTGTGCATATCTATTTTATCATGATAGAAGGATTATCTATGGAGACATAAAGGTTTGTTAAACAAAGTATCATTAATCACTCTGTCCGGAAATGTAGACTTTGCATGAGCATGCTGTAATTTGCATTAGTTTTGCTATGCCTTGCCAGTGCTGCTAGCAAGAAATAACAAACCTGTATTTATGAAAAGGACAGGTTAAAGATGAAAATAATTCTATCTGAAAACTGTGAGAATGGTACAGAATCCTGTCGCCTGCACTCGTTCAATGGGAGAACACTGTATTTGTAATAAATTCCTTTTGCTCTGGATGAGTTCTGCATTTTCAATGAGGTTAACTTGGCAACATTCTAGTTGATTTTAATAAAAATAGCTGCTTTGAGGACAGGGAGCTGAGGTTGCCAAATTTACAGCTGCCTTGCACAATTACTCTTACACCTCCTTCAGGGCTACTTAGAACCAGTAAGCAAATTAAGTGTATCGATTGCAATTTTGTTGGACTAACCCTTTTTTCTTAAGGAATAAACTTGATTCCTTTCAGTATGTGTCTGCTCAGAGTGATCTCTTTTCTTTTCAGCCATAACACAAAGACAACATCATGGCTGGATCCACGACTTGCGAAAAAGGCTAAACCTCCAGAAGAGTGCAAAGAAAATGGTAGGTTATTAAGTTTTCCTTGCTGCTCAGAGGGGATTTGCCTTTGTGTGTGTGTGTCTCTCTCAGTTCTTAGAAAAATCAGGCATTTGGGAGAATGATGAAAGGTGTTTAATTGCTGCTTTGGTTAGAAGCCATAAGTGATACCAGTTCTTAGCGTGCCATGTGTTTCTGCTTTTTATTATCCTTTCTGATGCTATCCAAAGCTGAGGATCACAAGTGTGTTTTCTGCCTGTTGTGTGTGTGACTCCGGGACTGACCTTCTCCCTCATCTCCTACGGAGAACTTTGGTCTGCAGAACAGAATCCCTTTTCGGATTCTGATCTTTTAATCTACAAGCGATTCAATGCATAAGGGAAGCTAGCAGCACCGTGGGAATATGAATATTGTTTGATTTGTATTTAAAGGTACAGTGCTATGCTGTTTAGTAGCCAATTTAAACAAAATAGTGTCTGATAAAGCAGGGTGTGGGAGGGAGAAAATAGATTTTTAAATAGTCTGTCTGAGTTCATGACTGGATTTTGGGGGTACTGCATCGTTAATGGTTTAACATTTATTAGTGTAAATAATACCGAGGATGCTTAAAGGAGCTGTAGCTGTTATACAGGAGAGGGGAGTATATCAACAAACTCAAAGAGAGATATGAAATAATACAGATCTCATCAAACTCACATGCACTCAGTATAATTTTAATTTTTTCTCTAGTAAAGTTTCAGGAATCAAAATCATTTAATAAAGACAAAGTAAAGATGTATTGTTATGCATTTTTTTCTGGGCAGTTCTTTTTTTGTTGTTTAATAGTTCACTGTTAGTTAAATCAGACAGTTAAGAAGCAATGATTTCTAAAGACTGCTACTTGTTTTATTTTTGTGAAATATAGGGAAATAAATGCATGCATGTGAAGTTCATTAATTCAAAGCATTTTAAAATATTTTAAATTAACTAATTGTATTTCATATACTGCATCTGATTTATTTTAAATTTTCCAAAATACATTAATTTGATTAATGTTAATATTATTAACAGGGAAAAAAACAAAAACCCTCAGTGCCATTTTTGGTTGATAAAGGGGTCACTGAGGAGTTGCTGGCTGTGTGAAATGTAGGGTCAGCGCTTTGGTATAGACTGTTCCTGGTTTTTGCAAACAGCTTCATTTTGAAAGCCTGCTGTATTCCAAAAATCCTTTCCTTATTTCAGCAGCAATTCTGACGTTCTCTTCTGACATCAGAAATTACATGTCTGAATGATTTTGTGATGCTTATTCCAGCACTTACAACACTATCTACTGGAGTAAAATTTACAGTGAACTGAAACATAACAAGGGCACAGGAGTTTTGTTATAAATCTCTCACATTATTTATATGAAGCTATATCTTTGCCTGCTCCTTAAGGAATACTAGTGTAAAAAACAAAACAAAACAAAAAAAATCCAGCAATATCTATGGAGTAACATATCACATAGTTACTTGGAGTCAATGTTTTTGTTTTTGTTTTCTCATAGCTGTTTTATACTGAGATTACAACAAATATTGAATTATTATTTTTTTTAATGAATCTAAAACAAGTTGAAATGAAGATCAATTCATTAAAGAAACTGAATTATTTTACAGTAATTTGAGTACTAGATTATTGAATGACTATAATGTGCTAGGTCATGCTGTTCTTTTAAGAGTTGCTTAGCTCATTAATGCAAAGTACATGAAGGGAACCATAAAAGACTTTAGGGAGACTCTTATGTTGTTATAGAGGCTGTTCTTGCAACATCTTCTCTTTTTCTAAGGTTCTTCAGTTGCTCAAAAATTGATGTCGTGGGTTTTTATAGATATAGATATAGATTTTATTTCCAATACCTACAGAAGAAAAAGAAAAGGCTCTTAAAACGGCTAATATCCCTTAAAATGACTAATATCCTTTAAAATGACTGTACCTTGCCACTGAGGTCCAACAACAGGGTGTTATAGCACATGGGGATTTGAAATTTTTATCTAGTTTTAATGTCAGATCAAGGAGTAATTTCACAAGTTTCAGCTATGGCTTGGTACATGTTTTTTATGCCAAATGTCTTTTCTGTTACACTTCATGATTTATTATGGCACATTTTTACTCATACAAAATTTTAGAAAGACATTGGTGCTTAAGTAGGAAATTATACTTACCATGCTTCTATATTATTACCTACATAAGCTTAAGTTTTTCACTGACGTTCATTTTGCAACATTTGAAACTTGTATTGATTCACTGAGATACGTTATGATGTACTTATCACCTATCAGATTCTGCCATCAGGTTTTCATCAGAACGACCCAACTTACTTGTGCTTCTTTCAGTGCACATCCTGCCAAGTTCTCCTTCTTCATTCCGCCACCAGCACACCATTTTGACCTCAGACAACATCCAACCAATATCCAATATTTGAGTCCTGGACTAGCAATATTGAGTGGCCCATCTCCACTCTTCAACTTTCAGCTCTTTGATGTTCTTTTGCCAGATACTAATTCTCCATTTCTCCATGTTCCCAAGTTTCTTTATCTGCAAATCCCAGTGCTTTTCTCTTCTCTCTGAACCAACCTTCCAGCACATCTTGGAATAATTTTTCATGTGCTTTTTCTAAAAGATTGACAAGCTGTACCAAGCTTTCTTTGCCTTCATTCTATGGACTCCTTCTGTTTTCCGTTAATGATGCTCACTGATCTTGCCCCCTTCGCAGCTCAGGCGGTTTTAAGGGCTGATTTTTATTTCTGTCACTGTCATGACCTTCTGTGTGAGTTTCAGAAAACTACTTTTACTTCTGTTCTGTCTACCACTTAGGTGGTAGTTCTTCAAAGCAAGAACTGCTTCTTGCTCTCTGTTTATATGGTGCTTATTTGAGTTTCATAACTGTTTTTCAATAAACAGAATTACCAATATATATTGCTGGCAATACAAACTACACTATTTTACACATTTCCAATTTCCTGCAGAAAGTCTTGATTTTTAAAAAGTACTATTTTTTTTTTCTCATGAAAATATGAATAAAATAATTGGATTTGTTTAGTTTTGAAAACTTATTTTAAGTGATTCTTTTTTTTTTTCACATGAAAAATTGTTAACCAATTTTTATTTGTAAATAAACACTATAGTTCTGCCCACTGTGAGCCTGATTCCCCAGTTGCTACATTTTCTGTAAAGTCATATTACATAGCAAACTTGGATTTGCATGATTACAGGTATATTTTGCGAGTGGTCTGCTAACAGATTCTGTTCATTGAGAGAGAATATGGAAAAGAATTACAAGTCCCTATGTATAGAAACATAGTTTAATACTGAAAGACAACTCATCCTAAATGACAGAACCGTTTTTTTAGAAAGTTCAATTTTAACTAAGAATTGTAGTAATTTAATTTTTAAAATTCTTCAGTCCATTTTAGGAAAAATTCCATTCTGGAGAAAAGTGAACGCTTACTTCTTTATCTAATTTGGGGGTTAAACAGATATTAAAATTTCCTGGGATCTATGAAGTAGAATTTAATTTAGTAGATTACTAATCCACCCCAATCAATATTCTCCATTCGTCTTTTTAATTAACCTTTTAACCTCATTAACCTTTTTTTTTTTTTAATATCAAACTCTTTTCTTCTATTTCTTCATTTTCAAATTCAAGTAAATTCAAAAGTATAAATAAATTTTTGATTTAACCTATCAGTCATCTGTCATCTGCCTATCCATCTCTATACCTACCAACTTGACTGAAAAGTACAGATTTTTATTTAGGGTGAGCGGAGTTTCCTTTGTACTTCATTGACTGTGCATATGAAGCTCATATGTTAACACCTGTGCATAGACAAACTACTATGTTTTGGTGTCTCTACCTTGAACTGAACCCCGACCTCACTATCTCATTTTATTGGATTATCCTTTCCTCCATTCCAATTGTTACAGCCAATATCTTTGTGCAAACTCACTGCCATGCACTGTCCCAACTCTCACTGTCATGCCAGAAACACACACATTTATCATTGTCCTCTTCATCTTCTCTTCTAGTTGAGTCCATTAGCTCATGCTAGATCTGACATCTCACATTGGACATTTGCTATCTGGAGTCCTCCCACTAATTTTCCCTACTCTCTTTAATAGCAGTACTTTCGGGGCATGTTTTCCTTTTCCTTGTCACCCAAGCAGCAAAGTGTCCTCTCACTGCTCTGTATGGTACATGCAGTACCATGCAGACAGAAGAATTCAGGAATTCAGTTCCCCATCCTTCTTTGAGACAATGTCATCACCGCTATCAATCATCTCTAAAAATCTCAGATCTACTGACTAAATTCAAAGTTATAAGGGTGATCACTGATTAGGCTATCTGTAATCTCAAAACTATAACTAACTTGTGAAAGCAAGACTCTTTTACATGAGTAAATAGGATGGGTTTTCCTTATTTTTTTCTGAAAATTTATGAAGTATATTTTTAGCTGGAAGCATCACTTGTGTGACACAGGAGTACCTTTGTTCACTGCATATTCAGTTTGTAAACCTCTTTAAAAGGCACTGAGATTTAGGGGAAAAATATTTTAAAATCATTCTATGTTATGAGTGCTTTAACACTGAAGGTGTTAAATGATCAGGTTCTTTCTCAAAACCTGACCATTTAACATAGCTGGTCTAAGATACTGCCTAACCATTCTTCACATACTCCTATACTAATACTAGAAATAGCTGAAGTCCAACAATTAGACTGTAGCTGAATATTTTGCTTGTTTTGAACAAGTGTTCCTTCTCCATAAACCATGTATCTCTGGTAGAAAGACTCAGACTTTCAGTGATGGAGGAAAATTTATACAGGCAACTCTATCGTTATGTTTCTACAAATGTAAACAAGAATATAAACCAACTATTTTCTCAAACGTCTCCAAACTTTGCTAAAATTAATAGGCCTTCATATCATTAAGTTCTTTGACTGTTGGCCCAAAAGAAACAAAATCTAAGGCTGTCTTTCTCATCTTACATTTAACACATTCTGAATTTCTTGT